AAGAGGCTCGGCCGTTAGCACATTAGCAACAGCAACCACCCACTCACAAGAATTCCTCAAAAGCAGAGTTTCGACCGCACGGCACGTGGCAGTACTATCTCACCATCGACGTAGAGGGACTGATTTTCTTTATCGAATAATTGAACGATCCTTTTTCGGTATCGGCATATCACTGCTTGTCACCATACCAAGCCAGCTAGTTTCTTTCATGTAATCTTTTTCCCAATATTCGTATAACCACATTTTTGTTAAATCCCCTTTTATTTTTGGGGCATAACAATTTGAATTTTTTTTTTCATTTTTTTCCAAAAATACGGGAACAATTTCTTAAGTGCGAAAGAATGGTGGCATTTTGCATACAATCGTGTGGTCGACGAAAAAAGACAACAAAGAATGCGGCGTACATGGAAATTCGCGTACAATCGCGCGAAGCAGCTGAATGCTTATTGTCGCGCTTATCGTCGAAAACTGCTCTCTCAGCTAGAGGCCTCCGTAGTTCCCGTATGCTTTTTATTATAACATTGCTTTATCAATTTTAAATCGTCAGCTGTGAAGTGCTTCTCTGATTAGTCATTAATAAAACGCATGGAGCAGAATCGTGATTACAATCGAAATCGTGATCTTATTTTTTCGTGGTTTCAGTTTTTATGTGATTTGCAGGCGAAAAATCAGCGTACTAAATATGAGGAAAAGCATGACGCGTCTTCTACTGCAAGTGTCTCCGGTCACAGTATTGATGACGAGTTTCCGGAAGAGACACGAACAACAACAAGTGTGTCCACCGATCGACGTCCATCCACTCTTGCTTCGAGAAAAGTGAAAAACTCCGAGGATCTGATTCTGATGAAGCAGATCGAGAGAGATGCCAATTACACCTATCACGTGAGTTCCAAGGCTCATCCTGACATTGTTATGGTGCGCTTTTATCTGTGCCCCAGTCAAATTAGAACACTAATTTGCAGCGTACAGATAGTACTATTTTTCGAGCTGATTCTTGTACCCTCACTGTCTTTATTTTGGTTCTTTTCTATCAACTTTTGAAACCATTGACTGTTTGTGTTTCTTTCTGTAACACGCATCACCGGCGCATCGCCACTGCAAAAAGTATCTGGTTCGAAAAGGCTTTTCTTGACTGCTCAACATAGCTGTTTAAAACAGTGAAATACACTTGTGAAGTCTAATCGCAAATAAAGCGAGTGGAGCAGATTAGAAGCTGTCGTGACCCAAAGAGTTAATAAACTAGACTAGTGGCGTGCCCTGTGTGTGTGTGTGTAGAGGCACCTCGTTTTATATATACATATATATGTATTTACATATACATGTATATATTTATAATTATAGACAATAACTAAAGTTATACAATATAAAGTAAGATATGAAAGAGCAATACAGAAAGTGTGACGAAGCTCTGGGGAGCCAAAGTTTCCCTGAGCGAGGTGTGAACTGCGACTCTGGATCTTGCAGATGGAGACAATTGTTTTTATACCCCGATGGTCAGAGATCACTAAGATTGCAAAACTTTAACGGGGTAGTGCGTCCAAAAATTGAACCGGGGACCGGGAGCGTTGCATCATAGTACTTACGTATTTTCTAACAAAAAGCCGTGAATCGTGATGTGACATATTATGTGACAGAGCGATAAAAATTTATGAGGGATACGATATTTCGATTACGGTAGTTGCAGCTGCAACAGAAAACAGAATTTGTTCTATGGTGCCTCGTGAGTGGTTGTTGGACGTTATGCGTAAGCGAATAATACTTGCAAGAAAAGAAACAGTTGGCTGACAGTCACTGTTTTTGAGTTGGTAGAGAGGGTACACTGTCGTCAAGACTTATGGAGAGGAGTTGTGTGATGGCAACATGCACGATTTTGATGCTTCACAACAATGCGCAAATGCATTTTGCAGGATTTGCAACTGTTCCGAGAGACAGTGTTTCGTCGTATTCTGGCTGAGAAAGATGCGCAACGGTCGTGCAGCGATACTGGCTTCCAGACAGACGATGAAAGTTTCGAGACCATCGACATTCGTTAGTTTCTGCATGAATTTGTTCACCTTTTATAATAGCGGCACCCAGTTTGGGCTATCTCGTCTTTTAATAAGCTACAGCAGACTAACAATGCGTGAATGCAAAAAAAAAAAAGTGGAAGAATTGGTTTTACATTACAACAAAATGGCTTTTTGGCCACTCCGTCGAATGGTAATATGTTGTATCTTCTCATTTAAAAATGTAGGGGTTTGTGTCTATACTCAGCATAGGGGTACGAAACTCGGTATAGGGGTTGCACTGTGCACTCTTCAAGCATAATGCATTGCATGAGGGCCGAGTGTTTGTGTCTGATATGTCAGAAGTGGATAAACGTGGGAACTGATTCGTGTACAGCTAGAAGCAGTATTTCAACTGGCGTGGAAAACACACATGCATACATACATACATATATATACATACATACATACATACATACATACATACATACATACATACATACATACATACATACATACATATGGTTTCGCCCTAATGTGTTTTTATGATGATGTGCGAAAAATTAGCACATCACCAAATTATGAAAACTACAAGATTTTATCGAATAACGGGAGCACAGTCTGCTCTCCAGAATTCTGCCTTTCATAGATATTATGTATATAACTTTTTTCGTGTGCCGTGCAACCAAAACGATGTCTCGAGAAATCAGTTCTTTGCCTAATGCATCTTTTATTCGTCTTTTCAGCATTTTAATACTTTGATTACTCCTTTGCCACTGTTTCTTTCTTGACCTGTAATTGCAGCAGCTGGCCAT